CATGAGTTGATTGACCATATTTTATCATTTAAAGACTGTTGGAACACAAATGTCCCTAACAAAGTTGATCACAATGAAAGATACCCTAGTAGGGCAAGATACGGCCCGTGGGCGCGTGCTACGTGCACGGTCCACTTCCCTTGGCCATTTTATCAACCAAATGAATACTTATCTCGGGGCTATCTTTTAAAACTGAACATAATACATTAAATAAGGACTAATGATGCATGTTTTGCTCGAGAGAAGTTGGCTATATAAAGAGATGTTATAATATGGCCTAAAATGCACACCCGAGAGCATTTTCGAAGATTACATGAACTTAGACCCATAATTTGAACTTGGTATGATACAAGTAACATCATAACAGGGTTAGAATCATATTACCCTTTGGTTGCCCGAAGAAAATTAGCAAGAAATTGGTGTTGGTTCGATCCTTTTCTTCTCTTTTGCGTGCGTACGATAAAGTTGGATTAATAAATCTTAATCTTGCTTATAGTTTGCTTAAGGCTTGCTTAGGAAATAGCTTAGCTTATATGCTAAAATATGTCCCAACGTTGGCATTTATAAACGTGAAATTGGATGAAAATGTGAAGTAATATGCTCGGCCAATGAGCTCGTGCCATTTGCCGCGTTCCTAGGGCACGAGGTGTACTTTCATGGGCTTAGTCATCACTTACTTGGCACCACAAGGCCACTTGGCTAGGAAAGGATATTGTTCACGTGAATTTGCCCCCAAGTTCTATCCACTTGAGTTTATTAATTAGTTAAGCACGCTTAGGGCTCGATTATGCGTGATTACTCTAGATTAAGGCGATTAGAAGAAAATTAAGCACCCTAGCCGTGCCATTGGCAATGTTTAAGGACATATGATAGTAGAATGATTACTTAGGCTTAAAATGAACATAATTGAGGTACTTAAGGAACCATTAAGTACGATTATGCGTATGATTACGCACGATTAGCGCAAGATTAGCACATTTATCGCTCGATTAAATATGATTTAATTCGATAATATTTTTATCGTGCGATTGAACATAAATTAACTTATACTTTGGATTCCGAGAATAATATGATCATTACGGAGCTAAGTACGTAATTTACATTAGGTAAAAAATGGGCTATTACAATCTGCCCTCCTTAAAATATTTCCGTCCTCGGAAATATCCAACTGAACACCTATACATGATACATGAGAAATATATACATCAAAACTGAAAATCAGGAAAACGGGCGCGAATATCAGCTTCTCGCTCCCAAGTGGCACCGTGGCGATCCCACTGAATACGAACGAGGGGAATCTCGCGATTCCGGAGTCGACGAACCTCTCGGTCCAAAACGGCTACCGGTTTCTCCTCGTAAGATAAGTCTGGCTGAATCTGGATATCAGTATGCTGAAGAATATGATCTGGATCGCACACGTATTTACGTAACATGGACACATGAAAAACATTATGAACATTGGATAATTCGGGAGGCAAAGCTAAACGATAAGCAACTTCGCCCACTCGTTCGAGAACTTCGAACGGGCCAATGTAACGAGGATGCAACTTTCCTCTCTTTCCGAATCGAATGATCCCTCGGAATGGACGAACTTTAAGAAAAGCTCGCTCCCCAACTTCAAACTGAATATCACGTCTGTGTTGATCGGCTGATGATTTCTGCCGACTCTGAGCTGCCTGGAGTCTTTGTCTGATCAATTCCACATCTGCCGCCGTTTCCGCGATCTTGTTTGGACCAAGTATTCGGCGTTCACCGACGTCGTCCCAATAAAGAGGGGAACGACATTTACGACCGTATAGTGCTTCATAAGGAGCCATTTGAATAGAAGAATGATAACTGTTATTATAAGCAAATTCACATAATGGTAATAACGACTCCCACTTAGCACCCCTGTCAACAACTAAAGATCGCAACATATCTTCCAGTGTTTGAATAGTCCGCTCGGATTGTCCGTCAGTCTCTGGATGATAAGCCGAACTAAATTCTAATCTGGTGCCCATCGCCTTGTGCAAACCTTCCCAAAATCTACTAGTAAATCTGGGATCCCTGTCTGACACAATAGTAACAGGCACTCCGTGGAGTCGAACAACTCCGTCGGTATAAATTTCGGCTAACTTGTCCAAAGACATATTCATCGATACTGGCATAAAATGAGCAACCTTAGTCAATCTATCCACCACGACCCAGATAGCATCGTGATGTTTAGATGACTTCGGTAACCCTGCGACAAAATCCATCGTGACTTCCTCCCACTTCCACTTCGGAATCTCAAGTGGTTGCAGAAGGCCCAAGGGACTCTTGTGTTCTGCTTTGACTTGTTGACAGGTTAAACATTTTCTTACAAAGTCGGCAACGTCCTTCTTCATTCCAGGCCACCAAAATGATCTCTTCAAGTCATGATACATCTTCGTACTCCCTGGATGAGCTAAATAAGGTGCGGTATGAGCTTCAGATAAAATTGCTTTCTGCAACACTTCGATTTTCGGCACCACGATTCTACCTCAAAATTCTAAAGCTCCATCTGAGCCCAATTGGAAACCTTCGACACCTCCGGCACGGACTTTAGCGTTAATAACACGAATAAATGGATCAGACAGCTGTTCCCGCCGGATTCTCTCCCTTAACGTTGGTTGAACCTGCATGGCACTAACACTCCCAATAATCACCGTAGGAAGTGCATCAACAATCTGAATTTGCATCCGAGCGAATTCTTGGATAAGATGGTTCTGCTGAGTAACGACGTAAGTCAAATCACCCTTCACCTTGCGGCTTAGGGCATCAGCTACAACATTCGCTTTCCCCGGATGATATTGAATGGTACAATCATAATCTTTCACAAGTTCTAACCAACGCCGTTGTCTCATATTGAGCTCTTTCTGAGTAAAAATGTATTGCAAGCTCTTATGATCAATGAAAATTTCGCATTTGCCGCCATACAGATAATGTCGCCAAATCTTGAGGGCATGTACCACTGCTGCAAGTTCCAAGTCGTGTGTAGGATAATTCTGTTCATGCGGCTTTAATTGACGAGAGGCATAAGCAACGACCTGGCCATCCTGCATTAGAACACATCCCAAACCCTGTCTCGAGGCATCACTGTAAATGGTGAAACTCCGAGTAGGATCTGGTATAATTAATACGGGTGCAGTGGTCAATCTCCTCTTGAGCTCCTGAAAACTGGACTCACAACGATCAGTCCACTTGAACGTGACAGACTTCCTCGTCAATTGAGATAATGGGAGGGCAATTCTGGAAAATCCCTCAATAAACCTGCGGTAGTAACCCGCCAAACCGAGAAAACTACGAACCTCGGATGGATTCTTGGGTCTGGACCAATTTTGAATAGAAGATATCTTGGATGGATCAACCTCAATACCTGCCTGCGTAATAACATGACCAAGGAAGGTAACTCGCTGGAGCCAGAATTCGCATTTGGAGAATTTTGCATATAACTTTTCTCGCCTAAGGGTTTCAAGAACAACCCTCAAGTGCTCCTCGTGTTCCTTCTGGCTCTTCGAGTAGATCAAAATATCATCAATAAAAACAATAACAAACTGATCAAGATAAGGGTGAAATATACGGTTCATCAAGTCCATGAATACTGCCGGGGCATTACTGAGCCCAAACGGCAATACTACGAACTCATAGTGACCGTAACGCGTACGAAATGCAGTTTTAGGAATATCTGACTCTTTGATTCTCAGCTGGTGGTAGCCTGAACGGAGATCAATCTTAGAAAATACACAAGCTCCCCTCAGCTGATCAAATAAATCATCGATTCTGGGAAGTGGATATTTATTCTTGATAGTTAACCGGTTAAGATCCCGGTAATCAATACACATGCGCATAGATCCGTCCTTCTTCTTGACAAAGAGAACGGGTGCTCCCCAAGGTGAAACACTCGGCCGAATGAAACTGAGTTTAAGTAATTCCTGAATTTGAGTCTTTAACTCCTGTAACTCCTTCGGCGCCATGCGGTATGGTGCTTTGGACACAGGACCGGCCCCTGGAATAAGATCAATAGAGAAACTCTACCTGCCGGTTAGGTGGTCCTCCTGGAAGTTGGTCTGGAAACACGTCCACAAACTCACGAACAATAGGAACATCGTGAGGTGTCCGTGCTTTCGGTTCATCGCTGACAAGACTTACAAGATATCCCTGGCAATCATTACGCCACAACATCTTTCTGGCTTTCGCCATAGAGATAACATGTGGTAAAGTACGAGTCTTGGAGCCATAAAAGGTAATAGAATCATCTCCCGGAAGATAGAGAATAATCTCCCGGTCGTGACATCGAATATCTGCATGAAAATGTGTTAACCAATCCATGCCGAGAATGAGGTCGAAATCCCTCATCTCGAGAACATAAGCTTCGGTAGGCAAGACACGTCCACCGATAGAAAGGCTAAGATTGGTTGCTTTAGCATCAGTTACCATCTTTCTTCCCGAGGCTAGACTCACCTCGAGAGGATCGACAGCAGTAATAGTATGAACCCCAAAGGCGTCAAGACATCATCGTGAAATGAAAGAGTGTGTGAACCGGTATCGAATAAAGCGAAAATAGGAACATCATTAAGTATAATCATCCCAGACATGGTACCTGGGTGTTGAGCTGCTTCCGCTTGATCGACTGCATACACACGTGCTGGCTGTCTCCCGCGTTGCTGTTGCTGAGGCTGTCTCGGTGGCTGCTGTCTGGGCTGCTGAGGTTGTTGAGGTTGTTGTTGAGGTTGTTGTTGCAGTCGTGGACAATTAGGTCGGATATGACCAGGCTGTCGGCAGTAGTAGCAAGTGTTCTGGCCCATCAAGCAATCTCCGCGGTGAATCTTTCCACAAGTGGGGCAAGGTGGTATAGGTTGCTGCTGTCGCTGACGGTTCCTGCGGTCATCTGGGCCTCCCCTGTTCTTCCTCTTGTTCTTGTATCGTTGTTGTGGGGCGGCTGGAGGTTGAGCTTGTGGTGTTGGTGATGATAGAGTGGAAGGAATTGGCTGAAGACGATCATGTTGGGCTTCCCTTCGTATGCTGGCATCAACTTCCCCTGCAATGGTAACAGTACGGGCATAGGACTGAACTCCATGGCCCACGATGTTGTGACGGACTACTGGAATAAGCCCGTCGATGAAACGTCTCGTCCTTGTTGCTTCTGTGGTCATCAAGTCAGGTACAAAAGCTCCAAGTCGAGTGAACTCTCTCTCGTACTCGTCCACTGTCCGAGTATCTTGTTTCAGCGCCAAAAATTGACGCTCCATTTCAGCTTTATAGTAAGGAGGATAATATTTATCGCGAATTAACTCCTTGAACATATCCCACGTGCAGTTTTCTTTTTCTCCAGGACGCATACCCCAGTAGGCGTGCCACCAAAGTCGTGCATCACCGGTTAATTGGATTTGTGCACATAACACGCGATAACGCTCAGGACAGTCCATGACCTCGAAAATCGTTTCAAGGCCCTGAACCCATTCGTCAACAATACGGGGATCTCCCTGACCAGAAAACTTCTCTGGATGATAGTCGCGAAACTGTGCGACTACCTCGGACTGTGAAGGTTCACGATGAGCCGAACTTCTATGAGTCGACATCTGAATGTTGAAAGAGTTTGACATGATTAAGTATAAGAATAAGATACATTGACTGATTAATGGGACATACAAATTTCTTGACGAGTTGTCAATTCTATCATGAATATTTTAGGCTGTAAACCCTGCACATGATTCGAGCACCTTAACTAGTCCATAACAGTGATTTACATAACATAACTGAGCATAGACATAGTAAATTGTTTATAATTTAAAGCATGTATCAGCACTTACCTGATAGCCGGTGGAGTGTGAACTTGACGTGATCGAATATTTGAAAATTTTTCAACTCTAAAACCATTCAGAGACGCAGAAACGTACTCTGATACCAACTGTAACGCCCCGCTCTAACTTAATTATCAGAGTGCTTTTTATAATATCTTTTTAAATATAATTTGAGAAAATGATTCGGAGCGTTACTAAAACATTTATTTTATCTTTTAGAAATCCGTTACGACCGTTTAAAAATTTACAACAAAAACGGATTTACATAATATACAATCCGACTATAAAATCGGATCAAAAGTCAAAGTTTGTCAAACAGTAAGTTCAGCGGAATATAGCGTGGCAAAATATACAGCAAAATATTTAACTTCGATCATCCGTCAACTTCACAGCTCCGGACCGACTTCATGACCTGAAAAATTTGATAAAAATGGGGTGTGAGTACCACTGTACTCCGTAGGAACTCATACTAAAGTAAACATCAATAATAATAGTAACATCATGATCAAAAGCATATAACATAACCGTGAATTTCCTGGTCAACAGTATAAACCGGACCGGGATCCGTGAATCTACCGGCTGTCATGATGATAATGATAATGATAATGATGATGACAATAATAAGCCGGAATCCATGTGCACATACTAGTGGTAGATGACGCCACTAGAACTTAGAACGGAATTATGGCAACCTGAACCGGCCAACATCCATTCCAAGCGGAAAACATAATTTGACATACCTTGAACATGATATCGTAATTATAATCAATGTAATACCCAGTCTGAGTCCCCACCTGTACTGAAGATATGAAACTGGAAGTGCTGATAGTCGTGAACTGATCAAACTGTAACATAATATAAACAATTACTAAGTACTATGCTCAGATCAATAAATTTAACTGTTAAGATGCTCGACTCGACTTAATATGATATCCGGATATAACGGAACGCACTAAAGGTTCACAAAAATATTTTTAAGTTCGGAAATTACACTGATTTGCTTAACTGATCTGGTTCGGCTCGGAAAATAATTTAAATTTCAGAATAAAACTCGGACTGAAAATTACGAACCAAAACGGACTCGAACCGCCGGCTAAACCGGCCGGTTCGCTAACTGGATGAACCGGGTCGGGTTGAACCGGACCGGGTTGGACCACCGGTTCACACTGGACCGGGTGGTCACGGGCTGGCTGGGCTCGGTCCCGTGCCGGGCCTGCTGGAGCCATGGCACGGCACTGGACACGGGCTAGGCATGACTGGCCTCGGCACTAGGCGCTGCTGGGCGCGGGCAGTGCGGCTGGCACTGGCCCTGGCACTGGCCGGGCGCGAGGGACGCAGGATAGACGCGTACCCGGGCTAACTGGGCACTGGGCGTGCGGCTGGCACGACCCAGGTGCGACTGGCGCGAGGAAAGACACGGCCAGACATGACTCGGGCGTCTCGGGTGCGGCTATGGCTTGTCACGGCGCTGCCGGGCGACCCTGGGCACGCGGGCGCGCTGTTGGGCACGTCCCGAGGCCTGTTTAAGTTACTCGGGGTCAATAAGGCACAGTACTACACACTCGGGTGTGCTGTTGGCACGACCCGAGGTCAGCAGTGCGTGGCACGAGTGACTGTCCCAGGGTCGTGCATACCCGGCACTGGGACAGCATTGCCGGCATGGCCGCTATGTGCGGCAGCATGCCGTGACCGGCCCTTGCCGGTCGTTCGGCCACCTACCTTGATCAAAATGACATCCTTTGACATGATTAACATATTTATATGTACAAGAGTCTGAGGGTCATGATAAAATATGAAAATTAGCATAACGGGCCATGGCGTGCGCGATAGGCACGTCCGACGGCCTTAACGTGTACCCTCGACCAAACTTGAACTTTTCTCGGGGAACATGAGTTTATTGACCATATTTTATCATTTAAAGGCTGTTGGAACACAAATGTCCCTAACAAAGTTGATCACAATGAAAGATACCCTAGTAGGGCAAGATACGGCCCGTGGGCGCGTGCTACGTGCACGGTCCACTTCCCTTGGCCATTTCATCAACCAAATGAATACTTATCTCGGGGCTATCTTTTAAAACTGAACATAATACATTAAATAAGGACTAATGATGCATGTTTTGCTCGAGAGAAGTTGGCTATATAAAGAGATGTTATAATATGGCCTAAAATGCACACCCGAGAGCATTTTCGAAGATTACATGAACTTAGACCCATAATTTGAACTTGGTATGATACAAGTAACATCATAACAGGGTTAGAATCATATTACCCTTTGGTTGCCCGAAGAAAATTAGCAAGAAATTGGTGTTGGTTCGATCCTTTTCTTCTCTTTTGCGCGCGTACGATAAAGTTGGATTAATAAATCTTAATCTTGCTTATAGTTTGCTTAAGGCTTGCTTAGGAAATAGCTTAGCTTATATGCTAAAATATGTCCCAACGTTGGCATTTATAAACGTGAAATTGGATGAAAATGTGAAGTAATATGCTCGGTCAATGAGCTCGTGCCATTTGCCGCGTTCCTAGGGCACGAGGTGTACTTTCATGGGCTTAGTCATCACTTACTTGGCACCACAAGGCCACTTGGCTAGGAAAGGATATTGTTCACGTGAATTTGCCCCCAAGTTCCATCCACTTGAGTTTATTAATTAGTTAAGCACGCTTAGGGCTCGATTATGCGTGATTACTCTAGATTAAGGCGATTAGAAGAAAATTAAGCACCCTAGCCGTGCCATTAGCAATGTTTAAGGACATATGATAGTAGAATGATTACTTAGGCTTAAAATGAACATAATTGAGGTACTTAAGGAACCATTAAGTACGATTATGCGTATGATTACGCACGATTAGCGCAAGATTAGCACATTTATCGCTCGATTAAATATGATTTAATTCGATAATATTTTTATCGTGCGATTGAACATAAATTAACTTATACTTTTGATTCCGAGAATAATATGATCATTACGGAGCTAAGTACGTAATTTACATTAGGTAAAAAATGGGCTATTACAGTTTCGGCCTAATCGGGCTACGTGATTGAGCCTGGCTTACGCCGGCCGGGCCATCGCACTGAACCCGACCTGCGTGAATTTATTACTTGGCCGAGCCTCGTGATCGGGCTCGGCATTTATTAATTACTTTGGCGCGTTACCTGTCCGACTTGCTCGTTGAATCGGGCGACGGTCTGGCCTTGCTGAGCTTCGCGTTTGAGCTCGTTATTCATTTCTTACGTTGGCGACTTTGGCCTTACCGGGCTACTTTGCCGAGCCCGGCTCGTGCCGGCCAGGCCATCGTACTGACCCGACCTGCACATAATTACGTGGCAGCTTACCTGGCCGGTCTCGCGTTCGGACTCGGTGGTATTATTGGCCTGACCGGGCTTCCTAGTTGAGCCCGGCTAGTGCCGACTAGGTCATCGTGCTGATCCTAGCCAACACTTCATTCCTTACGTTAATTACGCCGCTTCGACTCGATCTAAGCCTAAGACGACCTAGCCTCTAAAAGCAAAAGGTAAGTTACATTCTTGACCTAGCTCATCGAATAATCTATACAATAACGTCACTCATTGAGTGAGGATAGCCTAGACCTATTGGTAGGACTTCTGCAGAAATGCCGAGTTTTATGGGTATTGATGGGCGCGCGTCGTCCAGGTGTTCAAGTCGGTAGGCCCCGTGTAGGGGGACATCGTTGATTTGATATGAGAGTGGTTTGACTTGGAATTTGGCGTATCCCACGTTTCGATGGGCGATGTAGCGACATCAGCCCGGCAGAGCAGGGGCTCGTCGCCAGACTGGAAAATGACATCGGCCGGAGCAAGGGCTCTACGACGGGCGATGTAACGACGTCAGCCCGGCAGAGCAGGGGCTCGTCGCCAGACTGGATAATGACATCGGCCGGAGCAAGGGCTCTACGACGGGCGATGTAACGACGTCAGCCCGGCAGAGCAGGGGCTCGTCGCCGGACTGGATAATGACATCGACCAGAGCAAGGGCTCTACGACGGGCGATGTAACGACGTCAGCCCGGCAGAGCAGGGGCTCGTCGCCGGACTGGATAATGACATCGGCCGGAGCAAGGGCTCTACGACGGGCGATGTAATGACGTCAGCCCGGCAGAGCAGGGGCTCGTCGCCGGACTGGATAATGACATCGACCGGAGCAAGGGCTCTACGACGGGCGATGTAACGACGTCAGCCCGGCAGAGCAGGGGCTCGTCGCCGGACTGGATAATGACATCGACCGGAGCAAGGGCTCTACGACGGGCCATGTAACGACGTCAGCCCGGCAGAGCAGGGGCTCGTCGCCGGACTGGATAATGACATCGGCCGGAGCAAGGGCTCTACGACGGACGATGTAACGACGTCAGCCCGGCAGAGCAGGGGCTCGTCGCCGGACTGGATAATGACATCAACCTCGTCGGAGCAAGGGCTCAACGGCGGGTGAAATAATGTTGTCACGGCTCGAAGGCCTCGTGACCTTCTGAGACTGAGAAGTGTTAGGGGAGCGGCCGTGCCTATCCCGAAGGCTTGCAGCAGACCTACTTCCCCCGATCCTTCCCGTCTCGACTCAACTTTCACGAATGAGGCTCGACATATATTTTCATTCATGTATATATATATATATATATATATATATATATATTTATATATATATATATATACACGCATTCGTGCGTTACATATGTACATATGTGATTATTTTCACAATATATCTATACACACGTTTATATGTGTGATTTATTATATGTATATGGTTAATGAGACTCTCGTAATGATTATTTACTTATTAATTAAACGCGTAATACACATGTAGTACATATATATATATATATATATATATATATATACATATATATGTATTGTGCAGTACGACTATATGTATATATTACTTTATTATCATTATTATGATATGATTATTATTATTACTATTAGTGTGTACATATATATATATATATGTATTTAAAGCGACATCGGGAGTAGGATTACCTCGGGCCGGTGCAGAGTGTAGGCCTACGAAGATTACCATGTGGGGAGGTCGACTCTTCTTTCGCCTTCATTATTCGGGTCCTTGCCGAGCTCGACTTCAAGATTTCTGCTGTATGCCTCGGCCTGATTCCATCTATTCTACCTATTTACAAAAAATTTTGGGGCCCGATACTATCTCATCATATCTATTACAAAATCATTTAACCGGGCCTAATTCTATCTTATTCTATTTATTACAATTTTAGGGCCCAATTCATTTTACTCTAATTTCATATTTGGGCCCAAATCCAGTTTATTTGACCCAATTCCACTAATAGGCCCACTTGAAAATCTGGTTCCTTCCTAAGCTCTCAGATTGATAAATTTGTGGCAGAAAACTATCCCAGATCACCAATTTCGTTCGCTCGACCTTTGCGGGAGATAAGCTCGAAGACGCGGTCCGCTTTCAGGCGGTAGCGGCATCCTCGCAGGCGGAGATGGCAGGTCGGCGTCCGATCCTGAAGGCGGAGTCCGTTCCCTGGTGACGGCGGCACTTTCGGTGTCCGGATCTGAGGGCGACGTCGACTTGAAGTGGTGAGATCGGTTGCCGATCTGTGGTAGGCCGATGGCAAATCGGAGACCCAGCGGCTGAAGTCGGAGGTGTGTATGTCGGTTCGATGGTCGACCGTGGTGAGGTGTGCGATGTGGGAGCCGGAATGAGGTCGGCGATTTGTGGTGCAGATCGGAGGTCGGCGGCGGCGGTTAGGTGAGGTCGGCCGGCGGCTGTGAGTCCGAGGTCGGCATCTCTAATTGAGAGCGGCGATTCAGTGTCCTATTCCGGCGTTTTAATAGGAAATCAACACCTATGGAGTCTGTGGTGCGGCGAGGGCGGCTGTGTCGACGGTGGTGGTTGACCGCGGCTGGGGTTTAGGTTCGGAGTTGACCGGCGATTGTGACGTGGTTGACCGCAGCCCGGGCTGAGGTTCGGAGTTGGCAGTTGCGATTTGGTGGATCCGGGCTGTGAGGTAAGCCCGATTGCGAGGAGTTGATGTCCGTCGTTTGTTGTCGGTGATTCGGGACTGTGATGTGCCGTGGGATCGTGGATGGCGAGGCTGTACTCGATGGCTGCGGTCGGTCCCGGTGGTTGAAATCGGAGGTACCGAAGTGATATCGGGGAAGACGAAGTCGGGTCGGTCCCGCTGTGGCCGGGGCTAAGGTCTTTGATTTGGGCCTGGTTGGCCGTGGTGGTGACTGAGGTCGGCCGTCTGGACCTGGTTGGCCGCGGTTTTGACTGGTCGGAGATGAAGGCGTGGCCGGCCCCGCACTTGTTCTGGCCGAGACTGGAGGCAGCAGGGTTAGTCGGAGAAGACAAGGTCGGCCCCGGTGACTAGACTGTGAAGTCGAGTTGGGACACGAAGGTCGTGCTCGATGTGGGGTCGGCCCAGGCCTGAATGCCTTGGAGTTCGAGCTCGGCATCTGACCATGGTTGTGGATTTAGGGCAGCCCGGATGTGCATGGTGGAGCCCGAGCTCGGCGTCGGGTTACTGTTGTGGCATTGGGTCAGCCCGGACTTCGGTGTCCAGGCGTTCGGTGTAGTGAAGTTGAACGACCTCGGCACTTGTAGTTGTGAGATCGTGAGATCGGAGGAGTCGGGGTTCCGGTAGTGTGAGGTTTGGCCGAGGTGGTAGTTCTCTGACTTCTGTAATGAGCAGCCCGACATCTATGGTATATCGGGCCAGGCTTGTGTAGAGTCGGCGTCGGTTACTGAAATCGGGCCCCAGCTGCCGATTGAAGGCCCGGCTGCGGGTCAAAGTCTTTCTGCGGGGATGACGAGGTCGGCCTCGGACCTCGGTGATTGTGATGTCGACTTGTTGTGGTGTAGGGAACGACGGTACTGGGCTTGGTGCTTGTTTTCAGCCCGGCAATGAGGATGTGAGGTCGGCCAAGGGCCGTAGATCTGTCTGGCAACCATGAGGTCGGCCCCGACGACATGAGGTTGGATATTGGAGGCGATAAGGTGGCCAGCCACGGTGGTGAGGGATCGAGTTCGGCACATGCGGTGTGTCGGCTTACTTGGGTGGTCCGGCGGTCGCAAGGTCGTCATCAACGACGAGGTCAGCCCCAACGGTGAAGCCTGCTCGCTAGGTTAGTTCGACAGCTGCGAGGCCGGGGAAGCTGAGGTCGGCACCTTCAATTTGGAGGCCCAATTTACGATTTGGTGTTCACGGAGTGGTGCCGGCTTGAAGTCCGGGATATGGTGTTTGGTCAGCCCGGAGCGAGTTGAAGGTTTTGGAGTCCGAGCTTCGACGGTTAATGGCTGCCACCGGCCCAGAGTCTTGTGGTGCTGGTCTGAGAGCCGAGCTTTGAGGTTGGCCGGTGCATGCCGAATTTCGGCTTCTTTTGTTTTTGATGGGATGTGAACAGTGTAATACTGACAGAACATTGCATAGTAATGTGGCCTAATTATATCCAAACAAGTTGACTATTTTTTATTCGTTAAAGAAAAGAAAAGGAAAAGAAAAGGGAAAAATAGAAGAATAAGCTGTGTAAATTCACAGCAACTTTCGGTTTCAGATTTTCAATCTGTTCCACCAAAATTCCAAAGAAAGGAGATAAAATTAGAGATTTTGTTCATGCCCAGAATCTTGGAATAACTTACTTGGTGGGATCGAATTTTGAGATTTTTATGAGATGAGAGGAGCCTTTGGATACGGGGAAAGAGAGCTCTTTCATCTCAATTTTTTTTTCTTTTTTTTTATAGCCAAGCATATTGTACGAGAACACCAAATGAAGAACAAAAGTCTGGAGTGCAGAAAAAATAGAGCAAAAATAGGAGTAGTCTTGCCGGACTTGGAGAGCATGATTTTTCGGTGGGGACGTGGCCGTTTCCGGCGAAAATTGACTCCGAGTAAATTACGGAGCCCTTCCTCTAGCGCCAAACTGTTGATGTCGAAAATCGGACGATCAACCGTCGAATATAACTCGAATCTGTATATAAAAAAAAAGAAGAACAAAATAGATGGAGATGGGTATTTATTTCTTATGTTTTTTGGGAAGAATGTGAAGAAAATTGAGAGAGCGTCATCCAACCGCCCCTACTCTCCCTTGTGTCGTGTGGGAAGGGATAAAATGAAGAATGGAGAAAGAACCTCCCTTTTTTCTCCTCCTTCTTACATATATATACAAGTTTTTCCCTCATTTTGCAAGTGGGCAATTGAAACAAATAAAAAGTAGTACATTATCATTTAATGAGAGATAGTCATTGCGGGACCCGCTAATGACCCTTGACGGGTCCGACCGATGTCTGTCCCTTCGGCTCGGTAACAGTGGACTCGACATTTGGGAACCTGGTCGGTTTTTAGGCCATCGGTCTCGAGAACCTGTTTGTATATTTATTTATCACATATTTCTGGCTTCTTGGTTGTCGGGCCGTATTTTATTATTTTATTTATCATTTATTTAATCGAAGCCAAATTAGGTATCAACAGTTATATTGGCCCGTTCGAAGTTCTCGAACGAGTGGGCGAAGTTGCTTACCGTTTAGCTTTACCTCCTGAATTATCCAATGTTCATAATGTCTTTCATGTGTCCATGTTACGTAAATACGTGTGCGATCCAGATCATATTCTTCAGCATACCGATATTCAGATTCAGCCAGACTTATCTTACGAGAAGAAACCGGTAGCCGTTTTGGACCAAGAGGTTTGTCGACTCCGCAATCGCGAGATTCCCCTCGTTCGTATTCAATGGGATCGCCACGGTGCCACTTGGGAGCGAGAAGCTGATATTCGCACCCGTTTTTCTGATTTTCGGTTTTGATGTATATATTTTCTCACGTATCATGTATAGGTGTTCAGTTTGATATTTCCGAGGACGGAAATATTTTAAGGAGGGCAGATTGTAATAGCCCATTTTTTACCTAATGTAAATTACGTTCTTAGCTTCGTAATGTTCATATTATTCTTGGAATCCAAAGTATAAGTCAATTTATGTTCAATAGCCCGATAAAATATTATTGAATCAAATCATATTTAATCCGGCGGTAAATATGCTAATCTCGCGCTAATCGTGCGTAATCGTGAGCATAATTGTACTTAATGATTCCTTAAGTACATTAATTATGTTCATTTAAACTTAAGTGATTCAATTAATCATCATATAACCTTAATCATTGGTCATTGCACGGCTAGAGTGCTTAATTTTCTTCTAATCGCCTTAATCTCGAGTAATCGCGCTAAACAAGCCCTAAGCGTGCTTAAAGGTTTAATGAACGCAAGTGGATGGAAAACTTGGGACAAATCACGTGAGAATTATCCTTTCTATCCTACAAGTGGCCTTTTGTGCCAAATGGTGGTGACTAAGCATGCAAAAGTACACCTCGTGGCCCCGGGATGCGGCAAATGGCGCGATGTCATTGGCCGTGAGCTTTTGTCCCAATTTTCATTCCTTTCACCGCCTATAAATCAAGAGTTTGGACATATATTTAACTTATAACCGCAGCTATTTCCTAAACATACCTTAAGCAAACTATAAGCAAGATTAAGATTTATTAATCTAACTTCACGTACGCGCGCGAGAAAGAGAAAAGGATCGAACCAACACCAAAATCTTGTCAAGTTCCTTCGGGCAATCAAAGGGTAATATGTTACTAAACCTGTTATGATGTTATTTGTATCATGCCAAGTTCAAATTATGGGTCTAAGTTCATGTAATCTTCGAAAACGCTCTCGGGTGTGCATTTTAGGGCCATATCAAATCATCTCTTTATATAGCCAACTTCTCTCGAGCAAACCATGCATCATTTGTCTTTATTTAATGTGATATGTTCAGTTTTAAAAGATGGCACGAGATAAGTATTCATTTTGTTGATAAAATGGCCAAAGGAAGTGGACCGTGCACGTAGCACGCGCCCACGGGCCGTGTATTACCCTACTAGGGTATCTTTCATTGTGATCAATTTTGTTAGGGACATTTGTGTTCCAACAGCCTTTAAATGATAAAATATGGTCAATCAACTCATGTTGCCCGAGAAAAGTTCATGTTTGGTCGAGGGTACACGTTAGGGCCGTCGGACGCGCCTATCGCGCACGCCGTGGCCCATCATGTCAAATAAGATCAAATTTCATGTTTTTACCATGACCCTCAGACCCATGTATATATAAATGTGTTAATCATGTCATGTTATGTCAATTTGATCAAGGAAAGTGGCCGAACGACCGGCAAGGGCCGGTCACGGCATGCTGCCGCACATAGCGGCCATGCCGGCAGTGCTGTCCCAGTGCCGGGTATGCGCGACCCCGGGACAGTAACTCGTGCCACGCGCTGCTGACCGCGGATCGTGCCAACAGCACACCCGAGTGTGTAGTACTGTGCCTTATTGACCCCGAGTGACTAAACAGGCCTCGGGACGTGCCCAACAGCACGCCCGCGTGCTCAGGGTCGCCCGGCAGCGCCTTGACAAGCCATAGTCGCACCCGAGATGCCCGAGTCATGTCTGGCCGTGTCTTTCCTCGCGCCAGCCGCACCTGGGTCGTGCCAGCCGCACGCCCAGTGCCCAGTCAGCCCGGGTACGCGCTTATCCCGCGTCCCTCGCGCCCGGCCAGTGCCAGGGCCAGTGCCAGCCGCACTGCCCGCGCCCAGCAGCGCCTAGTGCCGAGGCCAGTCATGCCTAGCCCGTGTCCAGTGCCGTGCCATGGCCCAGCAGGCCCGACACGGGACCGAGCCATGCCAGCCCGTGACCACCCGGTTTAGTGTGAACCGGTGGTCCAACCCGGTCCGGTTCAGCCCGACCCGGTTCATCCAGTTAGCGAACCGGCCGGTTTAGCCGGCGGTTCGAGTCTGTTTTGGTTCGTGATTTTCAGTCCAAATCTTATTCCGAAATTTAAATTATTTTCCGAGCCGAATCAGATCAGTTAAGCATATCAATGTAATTTCCGGACTTAAAAATATTTTTGTGAACCCTTAATGTTTTCCGTTATATCCGGATATCATATTAAGTCGAGTCGAGCATCTTAACAGTTAAATTTATTAATCTGAGCATAGTACTTAGTAAATGTTTATATTATGTTACAGTTTGATCAGTTCACGACTATCAGCACTTCCAGTTTCATATCTTCAGTACAGGTGGGGACTCAGACTGGGTATTACATTGATTATAATTACGATATCATGTTCAAGGTATGTCAAATTATGTTTTCCGCTTGGAATGGATGTTGGCCGGTTCAGGTTGCCATAATTCCATTCTAAGTTCTAGTGGCGTCATCTACCACTAGTATGTGCACATGGATTCCGGCTTATTATTGTCATCATCATTATCATTATCATTATCATCATGACAGCCAGTAGATTCACGGGTCCCGGTCCGGTTTATACTGTTGACAAGGAAATTCACGGTTATGTTATATGCTTTTGATCATGATGTTACTATTATTATTGCTGTTTACTTTAGTATGAGTTCCTACGGAGTACAGTGGTACTCACACCCCATTTTTATAAAATTTTTCAGGTCATGGAGTCGGTCCGGAGCTGTGAAGTTGACGGGTGGATCGAAGTTAAATATTTTGCTGTATATTTTGCCACGCTATATTCCGCTGAATTTACTGTTTGACAAACTTTGACTTTTGATCCGATTTTATAGTCGGATTGTATATTATGTAAATCCGTTTTGTTTTAAATTTTTAGACGGTCGTAACGGATTTCTAAAAGATAAAATAAATGTTTTAGTAACGCTCCGAATCATTTTCTCAAACTATTTTATTTTTAAAAAAAAATGTTTTATAATCGTACTCTGATAATTAAGTTAGGGCGGGGCGTTACATGCGTGGCTTATATGGATTTGGGGATCTGTGCAACAGTGGGCCATCCGCCGGTTTCTCCGAATCAGCTTCCTTGGAATTTTCGATATTCTCTTCCGCCTCCTTAGTCAGTTTAAGCTCCTCGGACTGATCCGACGGACGCGGCATCTCTACCCGGTTATCGACCACTTTCTTGCTTCTCAACACTGTGATTGCCTGGGCCTCCTTAGGTTGGCTAGGCAACTTTCCTTTGTCTGCTTCAGACTCGATATTGCCCACCCGAGTAGCCAGCTGGCCCACTTGGGTCTCCAAGCGTTTGATCGATGAGTCCTGGTTGGTGATGAACTGAAGGATTTTATCTAGCTTGTCGTCCTGGCTAGACGAACTCGGTCCTGCCCCCTGGTTCTGCATCCCAACCGTCGGGCCCCTTTGTTGTTGCTGCTGCTGTTG